GTGACTAGCGAGAGTTTAGTACGGTAACGAATGGGTGTTGATAAAAACTGCCCGACACGGGGAATTTGAATAAAGAGTGCCGGATGTGGAGCTCGGATCGTGTTTCACGGTAGTTATCATAACTTAGTTGCCGTTCTACACCCTGGACGCTCGAAACAGACCATTTTCAATCATCGAATCAGGAAACACACGGTTCTACTCGCGTTTCCCATTAATCTCTTGAAGTGGAATGGAAAATTTTGTTGTATTTCTTCCAGATTGTCGATAGTGAAATGTTACACGAGCTTAGCAACGAAAGTAAATAGTACAGAGTTAATTACACGAGTCTCTATTTAAATAACAGGCTTACGCGTTTCAATGGCGTATCGGTCTTCCAAAGAAAGCGCAAAAACCGGGAAATATGCGATCCAGGGAAGCTAATAAACGAGAATGGAAACGAAAGGGAGCCGTTTTGAACAGTTTTTTCCCCGGTGTCAGCGGCGTCATGATTCTCATTTCCTGGCCAGGTTGGCCCGCGTTAATTCCGCGACGGGAAACGGGTAACGGATCAAAGCCGGCCGTGATCCCCGCGAAAAGTTAAGACCCCGGCGCGCGGCCCGTCCGGGATACGCGTGCCATTTATCACGCGGAACGGCCGGTCCGCGAATGGGGACCGCGTTTAACTTGATTTCCCGTAAATTGCCGGCAGAATGGAATTCCGACATACTAAATCACCCGGTCCGCCGACGGGTTTTCTTTTCGGCCGACGGAAGCGGCTTTCGCCGCCGATAGGATCGACCGAATAAACCGCTTTCCTCCAGCGGCCGACTCCGGCTCGCGAAATAATTTACGCCAGGGAGTTCTAAGCGGCGAGTTACGCGGTCTCGGATCATTATTTTTAGCAGCCAGCCCGATATCGTTATCTCGAAATAACTCTCGAAATACCCTACCAGCCCTCGGTCGACCAGAAATTTATGGCGGTCGTCTGAGCGCCTTCGCCGGCTGATTTCTCGTTAAATCATGTGTTCCCGATTAAACGATCTGTTCTCGATTCAATGATCTGCTGGGGCGCGTTATTCTCCGTTCATAGGTTAACGGTTCTCGGGATTATCATTTTCTATAGGGTCTGGCGATTTTGGGGAATCAGCGTGACAGCTTTTGTGGAATCCTTTTGGAACTATTTGTAATTACTTAATATGGGCTGTTCATTAGATAAATCGTTACATATACAAATGAGTTGTAATAGACTTATATTATTAATTATCATACGTCATAGTAAACGTAGACATTTGTTCAAAAATCTCTTCTATTCTCACTAAATTCTTAATGACGAAGTGCATCGTCGGATCAAAACAACTATTTTGCTATTATCATTGTAATATCTTCAAACAAAGTTTCCACTTGAAGTAGAATGAACAATTTTGCATTTCTTCCAAATTGATAGTAAAATGGTACATGAGCTTAGTGGCGAAAGTAGTACGCCAAGGGGTTAAGAAACACTTCGTAGGGCAAGGGGTTAATAAAGTCAACCAGGGTCGCCGGCATGACCGTTAAGCGGTTAACGATTTCCCTTCCGTTGTTCCTTTTTCATTATTCATTCCCTTTGTCCTCCGTTGTCCGACCGGCGAGCCCTTTTTCACGCGTGTTATCCACAATCTGCTGGCGCGTGGGCGGAATTCCCGGCTTTTTTTCTTCCCGTTGTCGCAACGGCGGCGCGTACAACGGCCCCGCCTGTAACGCGGTGAAATACACGGGGCTTTACATTTAATTACGAACTGTATCGCGGCCGGCGGCTTGTTGAGCGAAAATTCGCGGTCGGTTGTAACACCCGGATTTCGCGCGCGAGCGATCCGACGATACGGCCCGGTTCGAATTCAACGAGCTTTTCTGGCGGCGACGGACCTTGCAACGTTCCCAGTGAATGTTGCTGTTTATGAAAAGGTCGCGTGCATTGTGGAAAGAAATGTTTGCAGGTATTAACGCGCTGAATGCCGTGGTCACCGGTGATTCCCGACCAAATCGAATTGCTATAGTTCACTCAATGAAACGATGATTATATGAGAACATTTCTATATTGTAAATAATGCTACATAATGCAGTGACATTCAGCTAGATGAACGTGGAATAGTAATGCAATTCGATCAAATGATTTAATATCATATTTTTTCTATTCTGATTTAACTAGAAAGACACTAAACACTGATTTAGGCAGAAGCTAGGAGAGACAAGTGGAATATGAAACTTGAAATCACGAAAGCATTTATTAGGTCAGTCTATACGTAATGATTCGTATGAGTTCCTTAATGGAAAATCACAGGACTTCGAAAATGGCATTAAAGAATTAGTGGAAGGATTGAGGAAAATGCACAAGAATAGTCGATACGTCGATGGTTAGAAAATAACGTATCAATTTTCTACATTACTTAGAAGATGACCTTGTCTAGTTAAGTTTTTAGTAAATTAGCTTTAGTATTTACTGAATTATTACTTTACACTGATTTTAAGAATACACTAGAAGATTCAGTAGCTACAATGTCTCTTGTAAAAGCTGATACTTCTTTCTACTCATACGTTACAGTTTATTACTCATTGTTACAGTTCCTTTGATTATTCAAGAAGACAGGGACAAGATTGTTATTCATTTCACCCGAAAATAAGATTTGACCTTTCAGTCCAGGTCAAATGGCCCAGCGATGCGCGTCGTGTACCGGTGGGAGCGTTCTTTTTCTGCGATGGAATCGCTTGCCGGTGTTTATGTAACCGATCGCCGGAGCTGTATGGGAATTTTATGTAAGTGTGCCTTGCAGCGATCGCCGATAATGCGGCTGACACGGTCATGGAGCCTCTGTCAATAGTTTCGAGTATTTGTTGTGCCTTTGTTCGAGGCGGAGTTTAAAGAAGCTCTCTAAGAGGTTTCGCGCGAATTGTACAATCGGGAACGGAATAGTTACTGGAATACGGATTCAATGGAATAATTGTTTCATCGTCATTCGAAGTATTTATAGTGACTGTTCCGTGGATATCTTATCACTTTTACGAAGCGTTACGTTTGCTACGATTACTTTATTGCACATTATTGTATAATCGTTCCCTTCTTGACCTTCACGACTCGTTTCTTCCCTTTCGACGCCTTAAGATTGAAGATTTAAATATTTTAACCAGTTAACTGTGTTTGACGAGTATACACGTCATCCTAATACTGAATGGTGCTAACTTTTTCAACGATGGATTACTTGTTTTCTGAGACAAACATGTAATTCTTCGTTTCGCTTTAGTTTTTCGTTACGATATACTTTAAGTGCATTTGGCCTGCATTTAACGAGTATATACTTCGTTATTTGATTTTATTGCGCACAATGAGAGATTCTTCAAACTAAATTCCACACTTAACTGGTTAATATAAGAAAACTGGATAATAGATCCAGGGGATTTGGATGATCTTCTGTTTGACAATAAAAGACAGAAGTACCTAAGTGTTAACAATAAAACGTGAATTTTCAAATTTCTCTTTAAGCAAGAAACAAGAAATGATGAATAACTGGTATCTCGTTTCGATCCAACGTGATCTTCTTGGCGTCGGTCCATAATAATGGAGCAAAAGCAAAACAGTTTAATTGGACCGACGATAAGTGTACTAAAAAAATGTGTCATCCTCGCGTCCGTCGTAAAGCGATCCGGAAACCGGTTTGCATGCGGAACGTAATCTCGTCACACGCGTTCACTTAATCATTCTAAAGTGATTACGAGGATCTCACGAAAATCGTGACGGCGTCGTGTTTTTCCGCGAGCGCTCCGATGATTCTCTATAAATCATCCTAATCGCGAGCGCAACCATCGCTTTTTTTTCTCTTCTTTTCGGTCGGAATGTAATCTGGTGACGTCAACCGACAGTTATCTAATTGGACGCGAATGAAGTCCGTAAACAGCCGAATTGAATTCGCCGTTTATCGCGTGGCGCGCCACGCCGCGCCGCGCCGCTTTTCGACGGGCCGCCGCCATCTTTTTTCCTGGTACCGTTCGCGGCGTGCCTTCGGGAAACGATTGCGCCATACTGTCTCGCTGCGCGATTTTATCGGGGACGGATCGCACGATCGAATCGCATTTATTAGCCGCTCGACAGATTATTTTCTCAGGTACCAATCCCGGGTAATTCGATCCCCCCGTTAATTCGATCGATCGGGCGATAATTTAGATTAATTACGTAATCATGGAAATAAGAGAATAGTCACTTATCGATTAGCTCCAATCGATGCATACTTCGTGGTTACGATAATTATAAACGACTCTTGTATCCTATTCTAATACCCTTAATCGACACTTTGACTGTCAAGTGAACACTATGTCGAAACAGATTTGCTCTATCTTTCTTATATCCCATATATCCAACAAAATTCGGTTCGTTACCAGGAAAATAAGGTTACTCGAGTCACGTGACAGTCAAAGCCTTAATGAGAAATCACCTTCGAGAAAAGATTAATGGTCTCGAAGAACTCAAACTACCAGATAAACCTATTACCAATTCGCAATCGTCACGAATCCAGCTACTAAATCAATCAAAAGCTCCCATTCACTTCTCGATTTCTACATACTCGCCTACAGTTACCTTCTTACTAGCTCCAAAAGAATCCTCCGCATCCTTATCACGTCTTACAAGTTCAACTGGCATCTTTACATCCTTATCAGTACGAATCCACTTAGAAAATCAATCAAAAAATACGCAGTATCCTCTCGATTTCTACATGTTCACCTACAATTACCTTCTTACCAGCTCCAAAAGAATCCTCCGCATCCTTATCACGTCTTACAAGTTCAACTATCATCTTTAAATCCTTATCGGCACGAATCCGCCTAGAGAATCAGTCTAAAAACACACGGTATCCTCTCGATTTCTAGACACCCACCTACAATTACCTTCTTCCTAGCTCCAAAATAATCCTCCGCATCCTTATCATGTATCATAAGTTCACCTGGCATCTTTAAATCCTTATCAGCAGGAATCCAGCCAGCAAATCAAGCGAGCACATTCCATTCGTTGCATCCGTTCGATTCCTACCTGCGTACAGTTGACCTTCCGGCGAGCCCCGAGACGTTTTCGCGTTTGTTCGTCACGGGGTACACGTTCACGAGAGCGTGCACGGTATCCCGTGGATCGGAGTCCGACAATCACGAAGCCGAACGTACCGGCTCGCCAGGCTACAGTACTTACACGCGGTCCGCCGGCACACATCGACACGGGGAGGCGTGCGTACAGCCGCCGACGCACGGACACATGCACGCCGGCGGGCGTGCACACAGCCGCAGGCACGTAGACGGGCTCTACGTACACAAAGAGAGAACCGAGCCACGCAACATGGCAACCGTGGCAGGACGTAGACGATGGTTATACGTAGAAGTTCCAGTGGCAGGGGGTCAGTGTAAAACGGCCTTCTGTCCGCAACGTGTCGAACGTCGTTCGGTATAACCGTGCTGCTTTTGCGCCGGTGACACCTGGGGATCCTGCGGAGACACGCAGCGCACCTGCACACGCGGACGAGAACGCCGAGCGAGGAGAGGAGGATCGATTCTACGGCGAGTTCTCTCGCGACCGGAGCCATCGACGATCAATCGCCGGCGAGCCGCTGGAAATCGACCCAAAGGTAAATCGATCGCGATCCAGCCGGGGAACAAGGGACGCGATCACCAACCCCGGCACGATCTCCTTTGTTCCGACCACGGCGATCGCAGCGTCGCACCGCGAGGCAACGGACGACGATCTTGTCTCGCCGTTTCTCCGGGGAGTTCTGTACAGGGGTTGAATGAAATAATGAGAACGTTCGACGAAAGTCGCCGGTTCGCGGGTTGCTTCGGGAACGAGAGCTGCGCGCAGGTATCGCGTCTCGATCGGTTCTTCTGAAGTTGTACGGTGATCTGGAGGAATGTTCGGCTGGTGGACCTGAGATATCAATAAAATGTTTGTTGAACGCACGAGCTGTTTCCATTATTTTGTCCGACCCCTGTGTATGTTTTGCAGCCGTTTCGCTGGTTCAGCTGGTATGTGGAAGCGTTTTTGTTTTGGGTCTTTTGGTTTATGGTGATAGCTTTGTTGGCTGATCTTCGGCTTCGCAGATTTCTGTTCGAGATGTACTGATGTAGATAGTTTGATGGTTTCTTGTTATATTAATAGACACGAGCGGAGGGTAGCTATCCTGTCGCCATTTATTCGGAGGAAGACATTATTCCTTGAATTTAAATGGTGGGCTCGAATGATTATCTTCGAGACAAGCGGAGCAATATTGAAGGAGTGTTTACATTGATCGGGATGTTCCCTTGGAAATGTAAATAATTCTGTTGCGAAGCTGGCCGTCTTCGTTAGAAGTCGAACTTCAGCTGACATTTCCGTCAAGTCGCAAACAACGTGTCCGAACACGATCGAGGCACGCCTCTTTGTTTACAAAGCTTTGTCCCGGTACAACTGTTCCAAACGCGAGGTCCATCGCTGCCAGAGAAGTTCCTCTTCTATTTTAGTCGCAGACAGCGCACCGCGCGTCGGCGTCCACGGCCTCGCGAGTTTTATCGCGACCGCTAGCCAGGAATCAGTTCGTCGTTGCCGACCATCGATCGGTTGATTGTTGACCTTTGCGGCGTGTCTTCAACCTAGAGATAGCAAACGTCTCTCGAGCTGGCCGTCGGCTGCTTTTTTCTTGTTTTTCGTGGACCTCCGATAGCTGGTACCTCGTCGGTGACCGATAATTGCAATAACAGAAGCCTACTTACGCGATATTTTGCTTGATTAATAGATACTTTAGAGCGTCAGGCAATTTTTCGATGGAAATATATGTTGAGGTTGAAATATCCCAATACTCGAGAAATTTCAACAGAACATTTTTGGAGCACTTAGAGACTTTGAATAATAGTTCATTTGGATAATTGCTCTGTTTTCTAATGGAAACACTTAAGACTACTGTATTCTGAAAATTCGAGGAATCTCGAGAAATTTCTAGAGCTTCAGATACTCTAAATCCTTCTATCAATTTTTATCATATCTCCAACACTTCCAACTATTTCCTTTAAAAATTGTTGTAGTCACCATCACAGAATGGTTTGTTTATTTGTAACACATCGATAAGTGACGTTGGAAAAACGAAACGATCTCGTAGATTCTACGAAACTCTTCGAAAATACGCGACGTATGGTCCGACAACACTCGCCGGGCGAGTAGAAGTGGAGGCACGATAGAGAACAATTTACAGAGAACTTGTAAATTGAGTATGGCGTGTATGTACATTCAGCCGTGTTTGGGCATGGTAGAACTGTGTACACGCTGGGTGCTTACACCGGAGGTTTCAGGTTAAGCCGTGTTTCCACGTGTAGACTCCGAGGGAAACGGTCCGCCCGTGTTTTCGGAGCAGTACGTTTTCTGGCTCGTTTATATAATATTCAAGTTAACTATGCATTTCGCTTCGTCCCGGTGTGGCCGTGCCGCTTATTTAACTTAATTGTCCCCCCATTTATCCAGAAACTCCTTTATGCCCGCGAACGGCCAGAGGAAATTGTTACTAATCTGTTTTTTCGCTCGAAAATTTCGAGGAACCGGCCGAGCAACAGTTATAATTACCATTTTATCGTTTTTATCTTCGTTAAAACTGACAAGCTCGTTATCCGCCGAGGAAACGATGAAATATTTTTAAACAACGATACCTGTATTACTTTATTATTATTGTTTAAAACAAAGATTGCCAGTCGAAAACGAACCGTGATACAATGCTGCTAGTATTATATAAGGGGAGCTTCTGCAGTTACTTAAAAGCTAATTAATATTGATACGAATATCAGTAACGGCTGCGTTGCTCAACGCATTCACCGGGTGGCCATTTAATTCTAGAAAATTGTCACGCACACGAAACGTTACGTGTTCTACTGGGGACCTTGAACTTGAAACACAAAATTGGAAACCTGTTCTACGGATAGCTAGCATATCCTTCGTTAAATGTAAATTAACCGCGAAACAACAACAATAACAAGACAGTTTTCATAAGTCGATAAGGCGAATTCGAATCGAATGATCAGACGATAATTTAAATAGAGAAACAAGCGAGACCGATGTAATTTCCTTCTGATCACCGTATACAGCGTAAGGTCGTCCGATGAATTATTTTCAACGTGTGGTATAGGTCATCAATGACCCACATGACGCGGCCGAGTGTTAAAAACTTTTAGTAGTCGCGGCCTGTAACAATGACACATTTACCAGTGACGCATACGTGTGAATGCAGTCTCCGATAACGGCCGCGGTCTGCCATCGAGACACAATCAGCGCCGCGATACTAGTTTCCGGGTCGCAGTTTACTTTTCGTAGTGCTAAACATTACGCTCGGGGGAACTTTGCATGCTCGCGGAGAATCATGACGCGATTTTATAAATATGCTTCGTTTATAACTATGAAATCGAATCAAGTGTAAATGCTAATTCGAGACGCGAGGACAAGATAGCGACGGTTTGAAAGGAACATATGATTTACAAATGAATTTCATTTCTTTGACTGGAATAGTATCCTGCGTCAACTTATTTCGCGGAATATTCCATTATCAACATCCACATCCGCATTTCCAATGAATCATATTGTATTGTACAGTGTTCTAACTAAAAAATGAGTAACGTATGGTCGACTGTAATCTACACTAGTGAAAACTCTTGTCCAAGTCAGCAATTATGTGACACCGTTACCGAAGTAACAAGCAGAAGTTTGAAGTATCCAGTGTAAGAAGGGCTTAAACTACGAGCAGCAATAAGACCAGATGCGAGAGAGCGGTTAGCGAGAAGATTGTTCGTTGTATCGTTTCAAAGGAATACAGGCGTGACATTTTAGTGTCCTTCTTCAGAAGAACTTTCCCTGTTACTTGAAAACAATGGCTGCATTCCCACAAACCTATATTGCATCGCTAACTCGCGATATTCACCGAAAATATCCTGTTCCTCATTTTTCTCTGATATCGCAGGAATTTCCTTTCGGAAAACATTCTGCACAGAAACGGCTCAGGTTCCATAGCAAACTCTTGTCTTATATTCTTCATCTCTCAAGCAAGAACTTTCTCTGTTACTCGAAAACAATGGCTGCATTCCCACAAACCTATATTGCATCGCTAACTGGCAACATTCACCGAATTTCCTTCATCAACCGAAAATATCCTCAGTTCCTTATTTTTCTCTGATATCGCAGGGATTTCCTTTCGGAAAACTTTCTGCATAGAAAATCGGCAGCCTAGAAACGGCTCAGGTTCCATAGCAAACTCTTGTCTTATCATTCACCGAAAATATCCTGTTCCTTACTTTTCTCTGATATCGCAGGAATTTCCTTTCGGAAAACATTCCGCACAGAAAAAATCGGTGGCCTGGAAACGGCATCGGGTTCAATAGGAAACTCCTGTCCCGTCATTGAGGATCGGCCCGTCGCGTCCTCTCGATGTTTACGCAGCCAGCCGGCGTTTAGGCGTTTCCGTGGAATTTAAATTTCGGATGGGGCCGAACACAAAACCAGTCGGACCAGGTAAAACTGGCTGCGCGTGTGTCGGCCGCGCGCGGGCGATCGCCGCAACCGGCTGTTTCCTGCGCCCCCGTTCGGCTGGGTCGGCTTTGACCTGCCGGGCCAGGTAACACCGGGTGTCACGAGCCGAGTTTCGACCCAAGGATGCCTTATTGCACGCGAACCCCGGCCCTACAACGCTAGAACTATCGATTTTCCGCTTCCGCGTCGCTGGAACGAGCGTCGAACGAGCTTCCGTTTCGAATTTCCCGCGCTCCGAGCGGCCTCGAGTTTCGACAGCGAGCGTAGAGGAACGAACGTGCTGTGTACATCGCTGTCGAAAAATATCAGTAGAGGTTTTTTGCTAGTTTTTCCCTCTGGGGATAGGAGTTGCAATTTGAACTGTTTTTGAAAGTTTAGTAAATACGTCGACGTAGATGTCTGTGGCTGTTCAGTGTTCGTGGATAGATGCAAATGATGGCAATGTTATATTCTTAGTATAAATGAACAAATGTAATAGTTTTATTCTAAAAGTATGAAATCTTCATTGAACTGCATAGGAATCAAGTAATTAACAAAATTGCTTTCATTGTCCATCGCTGATTTTAAAGTGAGCGTCAACGTTCATTGTTTGATATTTTTCAACATTAAACGATATTTTAGAATATTCTTCTTATTTATTGATATCTTTACTGTTTTCTATAGTATGAGTCTATTGATGTAACTTTTACGTTTTGTTTTGATTCTTGTATTTCTTCCATTCGATTCTAGATCATTGTCTCGGTCAGCCGAACGCGAAGCTCGCTCCGCTGAAGTTCGCATTAAACGTGGAATGATAATATTTCTTTGTGTCCCGTGCAAAAGTACTACAAACGAAGGTATTTATATCTACCAGCACTGACGTACGCCGCAAAGAAATACGCGCGAGCAGCAAAAACCGACGCCCAACGCATGTGACTAAAAGCGATGCGCGATGCATGCGACAAAAAACGTTCGCCGCGTGTTCGAGTCTACGGGACGGAGCCGAGTCCGCCATTTACGACGCGCGTTTCCGTTTTACAATGCAATTCGAATGCAAAATAAAAGATGAGTCAAATCGGTTGACTCCGTAAAATAAAATGTAGAAAAATACACAGC